CAGGAGGCAAGCAATCGGCGACGGCAACAAGCACAGGTGCAGCAACCACTTCTACCACTTCTGTTTCATACTGCTACCTCTCTGCTGCTGCAACCACAGCAAGCTTGGCGGTGACACAGAATCAGCAACCGGGAGATGCAGCAGCAGCATCAGAACACCCATCTTCTACTTGTACTTCTTCTACTAGCTCCTCTACTTCCACTGATGCCGATGGTTGTTGTGGTGGTAATAATACTTTACGCTGCTTTCTGACGTCCCTTCCTCACCACGGCAAAAATAAACCAAAATCCATTAATCTATGTACCAGTACTAGTACCAGTAACATTTCTGATTTATATTTGTGTATGCGCATGACTTACGAATCCATGAAGAATAACAACAAATTGAGGCTGAGCTGAACTCACCCACTAACTGTCGTGTCCACTAATCCACAGCAACCAGTCGGCAAATCAAACCTTCATTTCATTCTTCATATCTTCCATCTTTCTACCTAACCGAAAAAAGCCCAAACCCCAAATGGGAGGGAGGGAACAGCGCGCAGGAAGGCCAGAGCGACTAATTATCCTGCCTGCCGACACTCCGCACCACTCATTCAAGCTCAAGCCCCTAGCTCAAATTCGCCCGCATAAAAATCAATAAAGCGCTATTATGTTTGATTTCAAGCTTAATATATATATATAAATGTATACCCACTAACCTTTCTAAATATACACTTGCAGCAACCTCCAATGGTCACGCTGGGGGAGGCGGCGGTGGTTCAAGGAACAATCGACGCAGCACGGACAAGGATAAACATCGGAATAAGGTTGACGCTGGTGATAATGAGCACAACAATGGTCCGCAGCAGCGGCATGGGGGTAAAAATAGCAGCAGCAGCAGCAACAGCACCAACAACAACTATCACCAGGTCGATGGCAGCAGTACAGCAACAGGAACGTCAGCTGCAGCAGCAGCTTCCACAGCAACAGCCCCATCAAGTAATAGTAAGGATAAGGATAAGGATAAGGAGAGGTCAGACTGGGATAGTAGCACCAACTCTTCACAACAACAGCCACAGGGGGGACAGCCAAAGGACAAACACGGTGAGTACACTACTGCACGTAGGAGCGGAGCTGTGGGAAAAACCAAACTGATTTCGCTTTTTGTCTGATGTCTATTCGCAGACAAAAAGGCCAACAACGTGATGCCTAATGGGAATGCTCTACACGCCGAGGCAGAGGAGGCGGCCAGCGTGGAGCCAGCTCCGCAGGTTGAGAAGGCGCCCAAGGGTATGAATGATTTGTGGCAATGGGCTAATCCAATGGGCAATCCATACAACTAATCGCACTGATACCTTTATAGGTCGTCGCAATCGCGGCAAGAAGGATAATGCGACCAAGGACAATCACAGCCAGCAGCAGCAGGTTGCTCAGCAGCAAAAGGAGAAGGACAAGGATAAGGAGAACACGGCCAGCAACAACAACAATAATGATGCCAGCTCCGTATCTTCGTCGGCCAGCTCCAGCTCGAGCAATGCCATTGCGCACATTGCCAGCAAAGTGGTGTCCAAAATATGCGAGACTTGCCTCAAACTGGAGGCCGATGTGAAGAAATATCGCGCCGAAATCAGTCACATGAAGCAAATCGAGAACGAACTCCGCCAGAAGCTAGACACCAATCTCACCAGCAAGTCCAGTCTACAGGCCAAGCAGAAGGAGTGTGAGGAGCTCGAGAAGCGCAACCAGGAGCTGAACAATGTGCGGCATGCGGAAGCTCTCAACCTTCAGACAGTGGAGCGGCGCCTTAACGAGGAGCGACGGCAGAAGCAATCATTGGACGCCCAGTTGGCCAACGAGAAAAAGGCACGCAAGGCAGCCGAGGAGAAGGCAGCTCGTCCCGAATGCAGCTCCCAGTGCAAGCAGCGTCGCCAGCAAATGGATGATGAGCTGAAGCGATTGCGGAACGACCTCAAGCTAACGGAGGAGACCAAGCAACTGGCCGTAGAGCATGGCCTCAAATACGAGCAAGAGGTATGTGATACAGAACCTTCCTTAATAACCAAAAAATGTACTCTAATAAAACATATCCTTTCATGTCTGTGCTACTGATTAGTACCGCATGCTGGAGGTGAATGTGCGCAACCGCGAATCTTCGCAGCCCGATGCTGAGATGCTTATGAAAGCCCTCGCTGCCATGCAGGAGAAGAACTCGATGCTGGAGAAGAATCTATCCGCAGAGACGAGAGTCAAGCTGGACTTGTTCTCGGCTCTGGGCGCAGCCAAGCGCCAGATTGAAATATCCGACAGTGAGTACTGAAGTGACGATTTTATAGGAGCGCATCAAACTCGAGTTCTAATAACGATTACGATTTCATTCAGACCATCGTCGCTCCAAGGAGGATGAGGTCATCGATCTCAAGGCCAAGATTGCCCAACTTCTGGCCGTGATGCCAGACACAATGTGCATGAACACGGGCCCCCATGGACCGGGCAGCAGTATTCTGCGCATGAATGACACTCCGCCACTGCAGTCGGGCCCTGGACCGTCATCGCCGATGCTCAGCCTAAGCGGCGCGCAGGAATATCAACAGCATCAGCAGCATCTTCAGCAAAGGAGTCAGCTGCAACAGCAACAGCAACAGCAGCAGCAACAGCAACAGCAACAAAACAATCAGCATCAGCAGCACCTGCAGCAAAGGAATCAAATGCAACAGCAGCATCAACAGCATCTTCAGCAACGGCATGAGCAACAGTTGCAGCACCAACAACAACAGCAGGGGGTTCCCCCCTGCTCCCAGCAGCAAATGGTGCCGGTGAGTGTGGCTGCTGCTCTCCAGGTGGCTGCTGCGAATGCAGCTGCCGCAAATGGGAACGGCAACAATGGCAACTCCACACTGGATCCCAATGCCAGCGTCTACACGCCCAAGACAGGCAACATGATGGTTGTGTCGCCTGTGGGAATGAACCCCAACGGCACGGATGCCTGACGCCAGCAGAAGCAGCAGCCCTTGACGGTGTCGTCGTCGTCGTCATCGTCTTCGCATCTGCATCTGAGACGACAACTCTGAGATTATATTTTACATGAGGGAGGGAGAATACGCCGCAGGCCGCCGCAGCCGCAGCCGCAGCTGCAATCGCATCTACTGTCGAAGCCGCAATTGCAGTCTCAGCAATCCAATCGGCCAATGAACACGAGCAGAGAGATCCCCGGGCACGACCCGAACCGAAGGCTAAAACCGAACCGAGGCAGTTCGCCTGCAAATATCTGAATGTCCGTAATAAGAATAAGAAGAATAAGCAGTTTCTTACAAACACTGAACACATCCCCGCGCCACATTAATCACATTAGAACGAACCGATTCCTAACCTTACCACACTCAAATTGGCATTCCAATTGAAATTATCCAATGGTTTACTCTGAACAGCCACTGATCCCATCTTAGTCAAGCCACTGCTTGGAGTCAGTTGCTCCACCCCACGTCCGCATCCATATCCGCATACGCATACACATCCGCATCCGCATCCTCTCCACTCAACACACACGAAACACACCTTTGGGAGAGTCTGGCTCGCCCTTGAAATACGGAAAGTAAAACATTACTTTAACAAAATGATTAAAAACTTAAATCACATTTAAGAGAAAGCATAAGAAACACACAGAAATTTCTAAAAATAATAACAAAATGAAAAACGCGATTCGTATTTTTAATTGATGATCGAAGTATGGATCCGATCCTCTGAACCATGTATTTTTCTTTTTACCAAACGCTGTGAGAGAGTTGGACGAACCTAAGTGATGGCCTTTGATAAGGGGGACCTGTACCCCCCGACTCAATGGAATATTTTTGAAGTCTGCGCCTTTGATTTATTATCTCATTAAATTATTTTTTGTTATAAAACCTTAAATGTACGCTATAATTTAGAATTTAATCTTTTTGAAACACCCCCAACATCCACAACAACACAACTATCAAACAAAACTATTTTCTATTTAAGTTTTAATTTATTTTTGTTTAACTTTTTTTGCTGTTCCTAAGAAAAAAATCGAAAAAACAAAACACATTAAGAAGAAAACGCTAAGTTCATTAACGAAGAAGTAAAACGACGAGACGACCATTTTGTTCAATAATAAAAGAAGAAACAACAAGTTTTATTTGCTGCAAGAAGACAGTACACATAGATGAATACATATATCATTTTTATTACTTTCGATTTTATTATTATTTTTCTAACACACATACTGCTCCCCTTCGAAGAATATTTTCTATTATTTAGGAAGGCCTTATTTTCAAAAGAATTTTTGTGTTGAGCTAAGCATGACTCACACTATTTCAGCCTACATAATCTTTACAATACATAGTAAGCCTGACCAAAAAAGTCAGTGGACGGGTGCCTTGCCCTTACAGATTTTATTTCTCCCATAAAATACGAGTAAGGTGAAACCTAAAAATTAAATCATGATTTACGGCATGCTGGTGACACTCTCGACGGCAGTCTATACTACGGTGGCCACCCTTTTGCAGTTTCAAAGTGAGTGTAGAAAGTGGAAAGATGATTTGGTTCGAGCGTATGAGCTGTCTGACTGTCTGATCTGATCCCACAGTGACCCTAATCAATTGGATGATGTCGTTTAGTCTTTTCATCTTGGGTCTGTTCTGCAAGCCGTATTTGATAGTTCCCATGTTGGCAGCTGGGTTCTTCATGGTGCGCCGGATCTTGCTGCGGCGGGCAAAGCGGACCCAAGCCTGGAAATCGCCGGCTAACAACGAGTCTGGGTCGTCCATGCATTACTCAAAGAAAACCCCACCATCACGCGACACGGAGAACTCGCTGCCCAATAGCGTCGGTGACACATCCCAGAAGTAGTCGAGCAACGGATGATCACATGATTCACACGGGTTTATAAAACATATAACATACGTCTGAAATACTGCATACACATTCCATGAGAAGACTCATACATGTGCACGGGTGTGGATGGATCCTAAGACTAAAGCAATTAAAAAATACTGCACTGTACAATCGTTTCATCCAAAAGAAAACTAGGACTTGAGCAGAGTGGGGATGTCTACTTTGCGCAGAGCGTCTCTTGCTTTGAGGAGCATAGTGTTGTGCGGTTGGCCAGTGAGTCCGGCCAGGTGATGCATATACCTGTCAATGTTGCCAACGCTCGGACCGGACGGTTCCAGCGGAGGCAATGGGACACCATTGAGGGCTGCAACCAACTTCTGGCGCAGACCTTTCACGTACGCCTCCAGTCGCACATTCTCCTCCTTCAGTTCGGCCACCTCGCCCATCACCTTGGCATACCCAGCCTTGGTGTTGTCCACGTGCTGCTCCAGCACCGCATTTTGCTGTTCCAGATCCGTTTTCGTCTTGCGCAGCGTTCGCAGCTCGTTCTCCGTGCTGCGATTGTGCTCGATGAACTCGTTTGTGTAAATGGGTATCTCACCTGGCTGAAGCGGACGCGGTGCGGCGACAATGTTGAGTGCTATTGTTGCTGGAGTTTGCGCTTGTGCTTGTTGAGGTGGTGGTGGTGGTGGTGGTGGTGTTGGAGTCGGCGTGCGTTTCACCTGGGACAGCGGAACATCATCTGGGTCAGGAGAGTGCTCGCTTGGCCTCTTTGTTGCTGGGGTCTTCGCTTTCGGTTTCTTGCCTTTGCCGACGGCGACATCGTTGTTGGCTACAGCTTTGGGTGTCTTCTCCTTCGAAGCACTGTCTCCTTTGGTAGCTTTTTTTACCCTGGCCAACTCTTTAGCCACAATCTCGGGGTGGTCCTTGAAGAATAAGTGCATCTGCTCTTGGTATCTACAGAAAAATCGAGAAAACCCGATCAGAAAAACATCTGGTAGCTGATCAAAGATCGTCACTTACAAAGCCTTGTCCTTGGCAGCCGCTTCCATGTACGGAACCTTGCGCTCTTCCGGCAGCAGGTGCCATTCCTCACCAATAATCTTCGTGTGCTCCAGGGCCGTACGCTGCGGCTGCTCGCGGCGCAACTCCTCTCGTCTGTCGTTCATGAATCGCACGTAGCCATTCAGTGGCATTTTGGGTGCTCCAGCTACATTGATGCGCCGCTGAGTGAGTTTCTTTATCTCGGGATCCATCACCATGTCTGACTGCGGGCCCTTGGAGTTCTTATTCTTTTTATTTCCCTTGCCGGCGGTCGTTCTCTGCAGCTTCTCTCCTTCCTCGTTGTGAGCTTCTATGGGGGCCGAATCCAGCGACTGTGAGGCTATGGGTCGTGTTTCGGGTGATCCTACGGCTTCATCTGGGACCTCCTTGCTAGGTTCGGTCATCTCTGTTTCCTCTGGTTGCCTTTTTAGGTCTTCCATGGAAAAATTTATAAATAAAATTACACCTTTAATTGTTTATGCCTCAATTTTGGTTCTATATCGTCTCGTATGATGAAAAACCGAACTTAGCCCACTTAAGCCCCTCGATTTAAATACTTCAGCTACTTGAGGTAAATGGCGGAAAATATTAACGACTGTAAATTCTTCTTGTAGATCCATGCCATCTCTCCTCTGAACTGAAAACAACACGAAATCTTTCACCTGAACTGCGTTAAAATTAGTAAATTTGTATTATTTTCGGTGGAAAATTAAAATACCCCCTTGGCCTGTAATAGGTTAATCGTTCTCCGTCAAGGATTGGAAACCATATTCCTTAATATTGATGTTCCGTCAAATATTATAAGCTAGATAAAACATTTAGCCATGCCCACATCATTTTTTCCAGTTAATGAACATATTTTCTACTTGACTGGTTTATTTTAAATACTTAAATTTATTGGATATTGTCTAAAAAAGGTTTGTGAAATAAGTAGAATATGAAAATTATATATACAGATAAGAATATATTGAGATTTTCAAAAAAAAACGGAACCTATCGACCAGTTCGATTGAAAGAACGTTTACATGGAACTAGTTTAAATCTGAACCACCGGTTTGCGTTTTAAATTAATAAATATATATACAGTGCGTTGGTGTTATAGGAATGACTCATGGAGGTTTCATCACATATGGGACTTTAGTCGTCATATCGTAGGAAATGGGAGTCCAATTAGCAAGGACACTAGAAATTAGAGACTATATGTACTGTATATGTTTACGTAGGAATCGGGTGACTCACCTATGCTATTATTATAAAGTGCGCACCGTGAAATATGGCGTGTTCAAAAGTAATGAGATAGTGGCGCGATTCTGATTATCCACCAACCCACTCCAAGTCTTACATCATTTTGCTTTATGCGAATAATGCACTATAAAGAACTCAGGCCATTATTTTGTGTTGTGGTCTTTTATATATTTTGAATATATTGTAGTTGTTATTTTTTTTTGAATGTTTTCGCATAATTTTTTGAGCACATTTCAAATGATTAGCCTATGTGGTTAGAGTGTGTTAAACATAAATGGAAACTTACGGATTACCTACGAGTTTCAGTTAAATATCATTTACAAATAGAGCCATCGATGACGAAATTCTTTCTATACAGCTTATCAGGTAAAACACTTAAATCTTAGGGCGGCCGGCCAAAATTAACAATACATATTAGAATAGAGAGAAACTTTGTGGATCCAACAGATTTTTCAATTTGAAAAACGAATATTCCATTCCCAGTTTGGGAGCTTAGATCAAGCTGGGGAACAGCTCATCGAAATTGCTCTGCCAGGGAAAGTCCTCTTCCGTGTCTGTGGGCAGAGTAAGGATCGTGGATGTGGGAGAGCCCAGTATGGACTCGTAGCCGTGATCGGAGGTGGCTGAGTGTAGAGACAATGCGGGAGATTTGGCCAATGGGGAAATGGCTTTGATGCGCGGACAGAGGAACGACTCAATGCGATTAAAATCGCACTCGTCGTCCGAGTCGTCGGTGGCATTCACGACGTTGAGATAGACCTGCGATGGGGACGTTGCTGGCGGCGGACACTTCATAATTACATCTGTAGTGTCATCCCCAGCACTGACGCCATCGCAGTATATCTCCTCAACGGCCTCATTGACGGGAACTGCATCTCCATCCATTACGATGGTTATTGAGTTTGTCTTGGCATCGTAGGTGCCATAAACTGTATCCGGAGTGGCCTGCACAAGTGTAGCGGCCGCCGCTGCTGAAATGGTTGCTGTAGTCGTCTTAATCGTCTTCGTCTTTTTTGGCGCTGCTGTGGCTCGCTGTGAGTTTCCATTTATCTTCAACACCGGCACATTCAGGCTCTGTTTGGGTTCGTTCGCGTCTAGGCCATCAGCTCTATGCCCGCCGGATTCCAGGCGCTCTGTTGGGGTCCCCACCATTGATCCAAGCAGTCGCTCTTTTTCGCCTGAATCTTTGGCAGCAGTTGGGCCGCACGCTCCAGAGCCAGCTTCCAGGTCTGCTGTGATATCTGCGAGCAGACTTTCGGCCAGTTCTTCAAGTCGCCGCGCGTCGAACTCTTCATCGTCGACGAGCAGCATGTCTTGTAGAGTAGGCAGAGAGCCACAACCTTCCAGAGCGAGGCTATGGTCTTGCTGCTTTTCAGCTGTTCCGCCAACAGACGCGCTGACGACTGTGTGTCCACTAGTGTACCCTGCGGCAGAGGGTCAGCATTGGATGCTGCGGATCCAAGGATTGTGGACGCACAGCCCTCAGCGCCTGTGTTGGCATTGGAGCTGTTGCAGGTGATGTTTTTGGCGTGCTGCTGCTTCTGTTGTTGTTTCATCTCATCAAGTTCCTGACGCAATAGTTCTACTTCTGTGTCCAGCTTTTGGTTTTTGGCCAGCAACGACTCATTGATGGACTGTAGACTTTCGCATTTGTTTTGTAGTAATTCTGTTTTGTCAGTTAGCTCCTTGATCTCGTACTCCATTTCCTCCATGCGAGCCTTCTTGCGGTCGCGTGATGTTTGGGCTGCAACGCGATTCTTTAGCTTCCTGGTGAGTGAGAACAAACATGCGATTAAGTATTGATTTCCGTACCGCGACCCATCGATTTTTACCACTTACTTTCTCTGTACTTTTTCCTCCCAAGTGAGGTGATCCAGGCGACGCTTCTTGGCCTTGGGTGGTGAGGCCACCAAAGATTCTTCCTCCTCCATGTTATCGTAGGAGGACGAGGCGTACCCCGAGCTCGAGCGTGTGGGCGAGGCCGCCCCCTTGAGCAGAGCCGCTGTCAGGGGTGCGGGCCGGAGCTTGGGCAACGTATTCGTGGATATAGCCACGGGCGTGTCCACCGTTATCAAATAGGCATTCGCGGTCGGTGCCATATTTTAATGTTACTCGGACAAAAAAATAAACTGTTGTTTAGAGTGCAACCTTTTGAGAAAGCGTTGCCGAAATTAAATTTGCATGGTTTCCGTGTGTTGTGCTCGGGCACCGAATTTTATCTGATTTTTGTTTTGCTTAGATCGTCTCGTTTGCCGTAACCGCGCTTCTCAGCCTAGCCGTCTTCAACTTCTTCATTTCCTCTGCCTCAGGCTTTTCGGTCTCAATCTCATGCAATTTTTTCATTCACCTTGTAATGCTGGACTCTGTGTGCTGGACTCTTTGCTTGCGTGTTCTTTTTTGGGTGGCTGGTGGGCCTTGGGTGGAAAAGCTGACGTGGCTGTTTTTGGTTGGTATACCGAAACATACGTTTCATTTTCAAAACATACCGTAAATATACCAATAAAAAAATAACCTTAGCCCACTTAAGCCCCCTCCATTTAAATAGTTCAACTACTTGAGATAAATGGCGGAAAATATTACTGATTGTAAATTCTGTTTGTAGATCGGAGCCATCTTTCCCCTGAACTTAAGAAAAACCACGATATCTTTCACCTGAGCTGCGCTGAAATTAGTAAATTTGTATTATTTTCGGTGGAAAATTGAAATACCCCCTTGGCCAGTAATAGGTTAATCCTTCTCCGTCAAGAATTGGAAACCATATTGCTTAATTTTGATATTCCGTTCAATATTACTAGCTAAATAGATCTCTCAGCTTTGCCCACATAATTTTATATGATTGATGAATCAATTTTTTTCAAGCTTAACTACTTTTAAGTACTCGCAAGGGCGGACTATCCTGGCTTATAGAGAAAGCCACGCAGCGAGGACACCGACAAATGACTGGCCTGGGAAACAGTTTTCTTAGAGAATCTTCAAGATTTTCTTCACAAATATTGTATTTCAAAAGAGTTTTACAATTAAACAGAAATTAACCGAATGTAATCACCGCGGATCCGGTGAAGGCTACCTTGTCGACATCTACGTGATGTACGTGATTGGCCACATTGACTACTCGGCTGGCTTTAGGAAGATGGTGTTGCCGGTTGCCAGTGTGGATCCCAGTTTCCAGACCATCATCAGAATGGGGAAGTTCCAGGGTTCCAAGTGCCAAGAAATCACCTCCCATGGGGATGATCTTGCCATGGTTCTTACCGGCCCAGTCGGAAAAGTAGCGCAGATTCTTGATTGCCGTTGGGAGATCCATTTCCAGCGTTGGTCTGAGGGCTGAGGCAGGGCGGAGCAGGCCACAACTGCGCCAAAGGGTGCCACTATGTTGATGTTTCTTTGCTGACATTATTTCTTGCGCCCCTGTTCGGCCTGAGCTTGTTCGGCCTGTTCTTTCACAGCTGCAGCCACTTCATAGATTGTCCCCTTATGCTAAAGTTGTAAGGAAAACAAAAGTTATAGAAGCCAATATATTGATAATCACCAGCTTTTACCTTCAGTTGGTTAATATAGAATGTGTAGGGAATGTTTCCAGTAATCGGATCAATGGCCACCGGCCACATGTCCGCCATTTCTTCTTCAGTGAAAGGCTCTCCCTCCTCTGACATTAACTTTTCGAAATACTCTTTGGTAAGATATTTTTTGTTTTCTGGGTCAAGCACCTGAAAAGCCGCATACAGCTTTTCTGCTGACGCTGGCTCCATACTGTGGGAGGTAGAATAACGATGCAAAATGCAATTATTCGTCCTTTAAGTGTTCTTACTGGTTATTCATAAGCAGTTGGGAGACATGAGCCATAAATTTTGGTAGCTGCAATTCCCCGGGGTACTCTATCGACTCAGTGACGGCAATTATATCATTGACTTCCTTCTCGGTCGGCACACAGCCCATAAATCTGAGAACATTTCCCACATTGCGAGTGTCTATGTATTTATCACCATGAGTATCAAAGACGCAAAAGGCCTCCGAGATCCGAACCTCAAGGTCGTTGTTCAAAGCAACTGTAGTATTTAATAGGGCTGATTAAAGTAAGAGAGAACCTAGGGCCCCCGATTACTTACCGCCAATTTCCATGGTGAAGGTAAATTTTAATACTTATGTAGATTTTGGTTTGTTTTCCTTAATTTTTTCACTTTTAATTTTTGATAAACTTTGAAATTTGTTTATTT